AATGCAGAGCAGAAGCTACAGAAGGTAGAGGAGTTGAAGAGGAATCTGACATCACAGCAGACGTTTTCACCAAAGTGAAATCACACAGTGAAGCTGCTGTGAAAGTAAGTTTTATTGGGACAGAGGAGAAAATCAGCCCGGACATTTACTGAGGGAGAGTTTCTGAAGAGCTGCATGATTAAAGTGTGCGACATCTTGTGTCCAGACAAAAAGTAGGTGTTTGCAAATGTAAGCCTTAGCAGAAATATGGTTCAAGTTTATTTATTTTGGAATAATATCGTATCCTGCCTGTTCCTATTCATATTTATGTAAAAAAAAAAAAAGGTTTAGTTTTAGTCTGTTTAATAAATTTTTATCCTGTTCAGCCTGCGATCTAAAGTGTGCTTTGAGTTTTGGCCCCCTGTGCGATTGAGTTTGACACCCCTGATGTAGACTATAAAAATGCAGAAAATGTCACATTCAGAATCCAGAGTGAGTCAAACTGCAGTCTGCAAAAGTTTCCTCAGAGATTTGTGCTGCGACAGAAAACGTCTTTATTACTCATTAATAAACAAACGGAGTACGTGTTTAGAAAATCCAGGGCAACCGGGGTCATGCAAGTTAATATTTGTAATAAAGGCCCAATGCTGCTTTTTGCCCTGACAAGAGCCACGTCCAAGGTGTCATACATACCTGAACTCTCTAATCCCAAATTTATAAATGTAGTGACACTTGGAAAAGTAGATGACTGAAATGGTTTCCAGGGAGCTTATGTTTCTCTGTGTTTTTTAAAAGTCTGTTTAGTATCTGCACAGTGACTGCAGATGAAAGTGAACTTCTACTGCAACTCTGATAAGATGGACTCACCACCTCAGTTAACCAGTTTGATGGGACAAACAGAGTATCTGTACTGGGATCCATCTTTCTTCACAGCTGATTCAGGTGGATGTTTTTTCATTAGTTTGGATCTGTGATCCAACATACCTGACTCAGTTCTCAATACATTAAAGAAAATAAAGTTTTCAGAGATTAAACTCACCAAAATCAAATTACTTGTCAAAATGAAAACTGTGTTGCACACCAGCAGAAACGAGTCACTATGATTATTAATGTCTGATCATGATAACTGACCTCCAGATACAGTGGTGTGAAAATGCGTTTGCCCCCTTACTGATTTCTTATCTTTTTGCATGTTTGTCACACTGTAATGTCTCAGATCGTCAAACAAATTTATATATTAGTCAAAGATAACACAAGTCAACACATCATGCAGTTTTTAAATGAAGGTTTTTATTATTAAGGGAAAACAAAATCCAAAACTATATAGCCCTGTGTGAACAAGTGTTTCCCCCCCTGTCAAAACACTGGTTTATCGCACCTGAGTTCAATTTCTCTAGCCACACCCAGGCCTGATTACTGCCACACCTGTTCGCAATCAAGAAATCACTTAAATAGGACCTGCCTGACAAAGTGAAGTAGACCAAAAGATCCTCAAAAGCTAGACATCATACCGAGATCCAAAGAAATTCAAAACCAAATGAGAAAGAGAATAATGGAGCTCTATCAGTCCGGAAAAGGTTATAAAGCCATTTCTAAAGCTTTGGGACTGCAGCGAACCACAGTGAGAGCCATTATCCACAAATGGCGAAAACATGGAACAGTGGAGAACCTTCCCAGGAGTGGCCGGCCGACCAAAATTACCCCAAGAGCGCAGCGACAACTCATCCAAGAGGTCACAAAAGACCCCACAACAACATCCAAAGAACTGCAGGCCTCACTTGCCTCAGTTAAGGTGAGTGTTCATGACTCCACCATAAGAAAGAGACTGGGCAAAAATGGTTTGCATGGCAGAGTTCCAAGACGAAAACCACTGCTGAGCAAAAAGAACATAAAGGCTCGTCTCAGTTTTGCCAGAAAACATCTTGATGATCCCCAAGACTTTTGGGATAATACTCTGTGGACAGACGAGACAAAAGTTGAACTTTTTGGAAGGTGTGTGTCCCATTATGTGTGGCGTAAAAGTAACACCGCATTTCAGAAAAAGAACATCATACCAACAGTAAAATATGGTGGTGGTAGTGTGATGGTCTGGGGCTGTTTTGCTGCTTCAGGCCCTGGAAGACTTGCTGTGATAAATGGAACCATGAATTCTGCTGTGTACCAAAATATCCTGAAGGAGAATGTCCGGCCATCCGTTTGTGACCTCAAGCTGAAGCGAACTTGGGTTCTGCAGCAGGACAATGATCCAAAGCACACCAGCAAGTCCACTTCTGAATGGCTGAAGAAAAACAAAATGAAGACTTTGGAGTGGCCTAGTCAAAGTCCTGACCTGAATCCAATTGAGATGCTGTGGCATGACCTTAAAAAGGCAGTTCATGCCCGAAAACCCTCCAATGTGGCTGACTTACAACAATTCTGCAAAGATGAGTGGGCCAAAATTCCTCCACAGCGCTGTAAAAGACTCATGGCAAGTTATCGAAAACGCTTGATTGCAGTTGTTGCTGCTAAGGGTGGCCCAACCAGTTATTAGGTTTAGGGGGCAAACACTTTTTCACACCACTGTATTTCTGCAGTTTGTGCAGTCAACCATCATGAACCTGACAGCGCAGTCAGGTTGGTGGTCCATTGTGAGCACAGCAGCAAAGCTGATTCAGCAGAATCATTCTTTGATGGTAAAGACTCATCAGCAGTTTGTAGAGAAAGTGGCTGAACCAGCTTCTGCCACAACAGAGACAAACTGAAGCTTTGTTTGGACAAAACGCCTCCATCACAGATGCTGCTGCTGCTGCTGCAGGAGGACATAGTTTTGACATCAGTTCGCACAGTCAGACTTTGAGAGTGAGATCCTGTAGGAACAATCAGATTAATGCTCGCTGCATTTCTGTGGAAGCCCAGTGCAACCAGGAAGAGAAAAACGGAGAAGAAATGTAATAAATGGCAAAGAAGGAAATGTCAAAATGGTCATTATTACTTAGTCAGAATTAGAAAATTATAAATAGGAACTGTGGTTTAACCTTCATTTTTCCCCCTGTAGTCAGTTCAGGGTGAAACTCTTTCAGGGCCGGTGTAGAGAGTAAGAAAAGTTAGGACTCAGACCTTTACTCACCTACATATGAGCATGTCAGGATTGTTTTAAGACCAACTTGAAAAATCCAAAACCACATGGATTCTGATCTGACCGTTCTGATGGCGCTTGCACAGTCAGAGGTCGGAGAGGAATTGGGTCTGAGGACATCTGGTCTGGTCTGTTCACACTGCTGTGGACACACCAGGTCTGGGTCACTTCAGCTGGGATTTGTACAGAGACTTGGTGTGGCATCTCTCCTGTACAATCCTGACCCTGCCCCTTGTATTTCAGTCCAGAGAAACATGCTGGACTTCCCGCAGCACGTGTCTCCCTGTAAGGAGGTCCGAGCAGCTAGCACTGAGGCTGACAAACATCTGTCAGATTTTGATGTGGAGATGAGCATGAGGGAGGATGTCTACCAGAGGATCATGGCCCTGGAGGTGAGCTCACAGTGGCAGAGTACTGATGCATGGAAAGGTAGGTAGGCAGATGCACAGAAAGATGTTTGGTTGATCTTTCTTTCCTTACTTTTACATTGGATGTCTGGGCTCGGCTCACAGGTAAATTACATCATTTAACTGACCAGTAAAAGTAATACAACACTATACTTGCAAGGAAGTATACCAGGATACCACTGAACTTTGACTGGATTCTTCTTATTGAGTGTTTTCGCCTCTGTCTGCAGAAGAAGATTGACTGTGAGAGCCTCACTGCAGAGTCGAAGCGTTACATGGAGCGACTGATCAAACTGGGGAAGAGGAACGGCCTCCACCTGCCAAAAGAGACGCAAGAGGTGAAGGCTGAGTCTTTCTGACCTTTTATTTTTCCGGCCACACTTCACTGAGAGCAGTGCTGTGTCACTAGCCTGCCTCTCTAAACCTGAGACCACCACTGATGCCAGCTGTTTACTGAAGGAAGCAGTCGCTGATTTTCTCTCTTTGCCTTATTTTGCACAAACCCCATCCAGAGACTAACGGCACAGACGAGTGTGGTGTAGTCACTGTAACGTGTGTGAATCCAGACCCTGGTTCAGCTCTTTAGTCTTTTCTGCCTTCTGTTGCTGTGACAGGAGATCAAAACCATCAAGAAACAGCTGAGCAACCTGTGCATCGATTTCAGCAAGAACCTGAACGAGGACACCACCAGTCTGTCCTTCACCAGAGACGAGCTGGGTGAGTCCTCTGTGCTGTGGACCTGTCAGTCAGTGTGCCCTGGTCTTCCTATCTCGGTGCTAAAGACGGTCGCCTCTGGGTTTCAGGCGGCCTCCCCGAGGACTTCCTGAGCTCGCTGGAGAAGGATGGAGAGAAGCTGAAGGTCACTCTGAAATATCCTCATTACTTCCCCACCATGAAGAAATGCTTTGTACCAGAAACCCGCAGGCAGCTGGAGGAGGCCTTCAACTCCCGCTGCAAAGAGGTGAGACTGGAAAGCCACACATTTAAGTATTCGCGATTCTTTGAAGCACAAATGATTTAAGAGCAAAACTGAAGGAGGTGAGACTAAAATCCAGACAGACTGACGCATATCCCATAGAGAGGAAGTGCAGGTGTCAGGGTTTCAAACCGTCAAATACAAAACATTACAATAAATGTTCGTCTCTCTGTGCACTTTTTACACACAGTCAGTATTTCTAAATCACTGTAAGCCGACTGACTTATGACTGACTTTCCGCTGATGATGATGATGATGATGATGATAATAATAATAATCCAGAATTGTGGCCCTCCATAGGCACCAGGTCCAGACCGATTATCCATCCTGATTATCTAGACCACATTATTATTTTAGAGCTCCAATATAGTGAGCACAGCTGAAACCCCTCACTGAGCAGGAGACTGTCTCCACACAGCTCCAGTAAGATCCATGATCCCCATTCATTCAGACTGCAGTGTCCTGCTGCAGTCTGACAGGACCTGCCACAGTTTCATAATGAACTGAACATATTTTTTCATTTCTCATAAAAGATTTTTTGCACCATTGCTTCAGCAAAGCATCTCTCACTCCCAGTCAGTGTGCTGTTGCTAGTGCAGAACCAACAGTTCAGATGGACAGTAGTGGGATATTATTGTCTAATAGTCAAATAGTAAAATGTGTGGGTGTGTTGGATTTTCACGAGTTGGAATCTTGTCAGTGACATGACCATGTTCCCAGAGGGTAAGACGTTGCACACAGAAATCAAAGGGGCCAAACCTGCAGACCCCGGCCCTCTCAGAGAGTCTCTGTGTTCTTAGGAGAACTCGGTGATTCTGAAGAAGCTGGTGGAGCTCCGGGCTCAGAAGTGCTCGTTACTCGGGTTCAGCACACACGCTGACTTCATCCTGGAGATGAACATGGCCAAGTCTGGAAAGAAGGTGGCTGGCTTCCTGGGTGAGTGCTGCGCTCTGAGACAGCGCAGGAGCAAAATGTTGATAGGGTGACATGTTCAAATATTTTTGATGATGGTCAAATAAACCATGGGTGTGACTTCTCTAATAAAACGATACAAACGTGCTTTTAAAACATTTGGCCAGTGGTCTAATAGACTTCAGAGGCTTGCCTATTACATCATTGTTGGGGACGGGCTAGGGAATTCAGAAACTAGCTTAACACATTTTTGTTGGGAATATCAACATCAACATGCTAACAATAAGACATCTGTTCTTTAGGAGCATTTCTCTTGCTCAGCTACAAATATTGTGATGTATCAAGGAAACTAGGATCCTGTTATGTCACGAGAGTCTTGTTTCAGGAGTTGGTATGTGATTCCTGCTCCACGTTCTGTTCACAGATTACAGCTCATGTTTTCAGGTAACTTAAATGGCTGCTGTTGAAACAGATGGTGTTCTGTTTCTACTATGAGGGATCCAGTGGTGAAACAAAGCAAATGCTCCTTATTAAGATGTCAGAAACATGAACACAGGTGTTTTGTGATTTTTATTTATTTATTTTTTATTTATTTATTTATTTATTTATTTATTTTCCTTCTCTGTTTTATTTCAGAGGAGCTGGCTCGTAAGCTGAAGACCCTGGGTGATGAAGAGCGGGCAGTCATCCTCAAACTGAAGGAGGAGGAGTGTCAGAAGAGAGGACTGCCTTTCAACGGAGAGCTGCATGCCTGGGACACCCGCTATTTCATGACCCAGGTAAGGGCTGCACACCTGAGATACCACTGCTGCAATGACAGTAAAGTTATTTCCACGTCCCAGCTGCAGCTTCCCAGACCTGGTGTGTCCACAGCAGTGTGAACAGACCAGACCAGATGTCCTCAGAACAGATCTGGGTCACCTGTGTATGTGCTCCTAGACCTGATTCCTCTCTGACCTCTGACTGTGTGAGCGCCGTCAGAACGGTCAGATCAGAATCCATGTGGTCATTTTAACATCTCCCCCTCTACACATACGGCCCGTCGTCATCATTCGGTGTCGGTAACAGTAAACATGGAGGAGAGCGACGACAGCGATGGGGTCAGTGGAGAGACCAGGACGTTTCACATGTGGTGGGCGTTTATGGAGAAGCTTCTGATCAGGCCAAACTGGAAAGAACATATTGTAACCCAGCAGTTTGGGAGGAAACTGGGTCATTTGACCGTCGCACACATGACCTGGTTGTTATTCTTGTGCGCACATGGCTCACATTTCAGTTGCATCTGTGCATGTGTGGCAGTTTAGGAGCTGAGCGGTGTTCACACCGGAGCTGGGTACATGGCCCTGGCACACACGGACGGGAAGATCTGAGCGTTAAGGCCTGATGTGAATGCAGCCTTATTTAGATCAGTGGCCGTGTTCACAAAACATCCTTTGCACTTGACATAAATATGATCTGCATCAGCCGCTGATGAAAGAGCAGAGAAACACAAAGATTTTTCCTGTGTGACTTGGGATCTAATTAAACACTGGTGTGAGGTCCACAGAAAGATGTTTTCTGATCTCGTATCCTCTCTCTTTCATTTTGTTGCTTCCTTCTCATCTCAGGTGGAGGAGACTCAGTACGCAGTGGATCAGAACCTGCTCAAGGAGTATTTTCCCATGGAGGTGGTGACTCAGGGTCTGTTGGACATCTACCAGGAGTTGCTCAGCCTGACCTTCGAGCTGGTGGACAGAGCTTCCGTCTGGCACCCTGATGTCACTCTGTACTGTGTGAAGGACCGCAGCACTGGTCAGGTGGTCGGCCAGTTCTACTTGGACCTCTACCCCAGGTGAGGGCTCAGTGAGCTGGATGACAGGGTGGTAGAAAGCACCATAAGCATTTGTTGACTGTGAATGTGCTGGTGTGAAGCAGTGAAGTCTCTCAGCTGGGTCTGAAAGTCTCCAGGTGTCTCACTGTCTTCTCCTTGCTGTTCGATGCAGAGAGGGAAAGTACGGTCACGCCGCCTGCTTTGGCCTGCAGCCCGGCTGTCTGCTGTCCGACGGCACACGGCAGATGTCAGTGGCCGCCATGGTGGCTAACTTCAGCAAGCCAACAGCTGAAGCTCCGTCACTCCTGCAGCATGACGAGGTGGAGACATACTTCCATGAGTTTGGCCACGTCATGCATCAACTCTGCGCTGAGGTCAGTGGGTCACTGGAACCCTGACAACTTCTGGAGGAGTTTTAGTCTAAATTGCACAAACTGGATCAAGATTCAAGATTTTTATTTGCCATTTATGCATAAACAGACAGTCTAGGCATATAGGAATTCTTGTGCAGCTCCCCTTTGGAGTCAAGTAAGGAGTCAAAAGCCAGAAAGAACACTTGGTCTTAAAATAAAAAGTTAAGGGCGACAAAGTATTAAAGCACAATACACAAAAAATAGGTTAATAGAACTTCAAACATCGCACTTAGTAATTCACATGGTGGAGTTGGATATGTCATTACAATTGGTGAGGTAGTAAGGGGTTATTGCATATATTCTCACATTTTGTATTTGCCATCAGTCTTACTGCAGCAGAGAAAAAGCTGTTGTAAAGTCGAGTTCTGTGTGTGATGATACTGTCCGCCCTGCTGTGCCTGAGGCTGTAGGTGCAGTTTTTGTGTCTGAGCAGAGAGAGAGCTGGGTGGGGGGGATCCCTGAGTATGTTCTCTGCCCTTTTATGACAGCGCTGTGTGTACAGTGTGTCCATAGCACCCTGTGTGGTGTTACCATACCAGACAGTGATGCCAGTGGTGAGGATGCTCTACCAGTCCTCTATAAGCCTGGGTGAGGGGGCAACAGCTCAACCAAGCTTTTCTGATGTGGTTCCACAAGGCGCTTCTCGGTGTGCGATGTCACAGTTCACTCACTCAAACAGGAGTCCCTAAAATGTCTAATGTGCTGCTGAGGAATAAGTTTAGAAGCTCAGGCTCCAGTGTAGGTTCCAGGAGGCCCAGAAGCACTTTTTGTTTTATTTCTGGTTAGTAGTTTGTATTAGAACAAACATGCCTCTACATTGGACTTTATCTTTCAGCTTTAAATCTACCTATAGGTCAGAGTAGCAGCTCTGTTTCTGTCATGAATTAAGAAGTGGAGATGGTTCCTAATAGTGATACAGGATGGGACTTTATCACGGGATGAATAAAAAAAAAATCTGTTTCAGAATCAAAACACATGGCACAGTTTGGCCAGTAATGTCAGTATTTGGGCTGATAACAAAGACAGCCGTTTTGATGTTAACGAATGATAATGTGGAAAAACAAAGACTTGGACTTTGGGATGTTCCACATTCATTTCGGGACAGTTCTGGAAAGATGGTGAAAATAGTGAAGAGCCCCGGATTTACTGCAGGACTGTTGGATTAGACCGTCTTAGTGTGAGCTAGGTGTCCATAATAAACTGAATACTGAGTGTATGATGTGCCTGTAAGACGTGGTGGTTCTCATAAAACTGTAAATAACCAGGAAAAAAGCTTGAGAGCTCAAAGTGTGTTAAATAAATTTAAAGGTTTGTTTGGTACCTGATGTGCTGGCCATTGGGAGTCTGCAAGGATATTTCACTCAGCTTTGAATCCATCCATAGTAAAAGTAGGAATAAGCAGGATAGAGGATGGATGGATCTTGGAGGTGATGAATCATGTAGATCTACGTCTGCAGGCGGACTACGCCATGTTCAGCGGGACTCATGTGGAGCGTGACTTTGTGGAGGCCCCGTCTCAGATGTTGGAGAACTGGGTTTGGGAGAAGGAGCCTCTGCAGAGGATGTCCAGACACTACAAGACAGGAAACCCCATCCCTGACGAGCTGCTCGACAAACTCATCAAGTCCCGCATCGCCAACACTGGTATGTAGCGCACAGGAAACACACAGCCCCCCTAATGTGAAGAGACTGTCGCTGTCTCGCTGCAGTGCTACGAGTACCACAGTCCCTATCCAGCATATGACACAAACATGAAACAGACTGTGTGCATGTTAATGACTCGCATGATGAGATGTAATTCAGCAGTAATGTGACTTCTGGGCTGATGACAGGAAGCCTTTCCTTCTCTGTCAGAAGTCGTCATTAACCAGTGGGACAGCTGCTCTTTAACTGGTTCACTGTGACCCTGCTGCAGGTCTGTTTAACCTGAGGCAGATCGTCCTAGCCAAAGTGGATCAGGCTCTTCACACCAGGAACGGACTTGACCCTGCAGAGGAGTATGGACGGCTCTGTCAGGACATCCTGGGAATCCCTGCTTCACCAGGTCTCACGCTCACACACACTAACACCAGCTCTTACCAAAACTAATGTATGGACTCTTAAATGAGGTGGTTCACCAGCAGCAGTTGAATCCCCATAAAGTGACTGTGGATGCACAAACACACACTCTGCATGCACTTGGCAACAGCTGTTGTTAACTCTGTGGTGACACATCCTTAACAAGTCCAAAGTATAACAATTCCAGGCATTAAAATGTCTTAAATATTAGTTTGATAGGATTTAAAAATGATTGATCATGTTCAGGTGCTGAGGAGACAACAGTAGCACCGCCTGTTGTATACTGGCTCCATGTTCTAGTTCTGTCTCTCATCAGTCCATATCACACTGTAATGAAACTATAAATCCAAACCATCGTGGAACCAGGACATCAGCGGAATGCGCAGCCCGGTCAGAAGTTATCGAGAACACGTGTGTTTCTTTGTGTCCTGCAGGAACCAACATGCCGGCGACCTTTGGACACCTGGCTGGGGGTTATGATGCTCAGTACTATGGTTACCTGTGGAGCGAGGTGTTCTCCATGGACATGTTCTATGCTCGCTTCAAACTGGACGGAATCATGAACCCAAAGGTCAGATCCAGTCGTTCCGCAGAGTTTAACCAGCAAGCAGACTTTCTTTGTACAGCACCGTGCGCTACAGGGACAAAAAGGAGAACAGGGAAATAACATTTAAAATCAAGGAGAATAAAGTGCACAACCAACAAAATATGAAATTAGAAAATCAAGAGCAGGTGATTGTATGTGTAGAAATGTCTGGAGCTCTTTGTTGCTCCTCAGAGGTGGAGATGTTAAAGCAACCACAGATTCTGATCTGACCCTTCTGACAGCACTCGCACAGTCGGAGAGGAATCGTGTCTAGGAGCACATACGCAGGTGGCCCAGATCTGGTCTGGTCTGTTCACACTGCTGTGGACACATCAGGTTTGAGTCAGTACAGCTAGGATGTGGACACAGCCAAAGAGACTGAGCTACATTTTAAATCTGACTTTCTGGAAACCCCTGTTCTCCATCATGTTCAGGCTCAAATGAATACCACTTTCATCTGTTTCCCTTACAGAGATGGGTCCAGGACATGTTTAGCCTAGCTTAGCATAAATACTGGAAGCAGGGTGAAACTGTGAGCCTTGAAAAAGAAAACTCCACTTTCCAAGAACTCAAAGGTCCAGTCCCAGGTTCAACTGGTTAATTTACAGATACAGCTGCAGTAGGAGGTCGGGACTGTTAGAATAGATGTTGACTGAGTTTCTGTTGCCTGATTGGTCCTCCAGGTGGGTCTGGACTATAGGAAATGCATCCTGCGGCCCGGTGGCTCTGAGGATGCCTCTGAGATGCTGTGGAAGTTTCTTGGGCGGGAACCCAAACAGGAAGCAATCCTGCTGAGCAAAGGACTGACAGTGGACCTGGAAGCTGGCACGCCGTGTCCCTGCTGACCAATCACCGCAGCCAGCTCTGCCCCGAGCAGCGATCCACAAAGAACAATGGACTGACTGATTTCTAGAAAAATTGTAAAATGTTATCTGATATGGAAAACAATACCCATAAATAAAATGATTTGAGGTGATGTCCTGTGTGGTTGAATATCTGATGCTACTCAAACACATGAATCTGCCATTACTGATTACAAGAGTGAAGTTTAGTTTATTGTTATCAGTCCTATTGGTGTTTGTGTGGTTTGGAACCATGAAGATAAACGAGAACACTACTGGAGGGACTCAAAGTTGTGTTGGTTCCTTAGAGTGCAAACCATGTGTCCAGGTAACGTTAACACCTGATCAGTCTTGTACAGTCTTGATACGCGAAGCCCGTCACGTTTTTCTTTTATTGTCCTCTGCTGATATCTTTAGTGATGAGTGTTTGAATATCATTCCTTTACTATCAATGTTTAAACATGGTGGATGGGTTTTATTTTGACTTCTAAATAAGTTGCCAACTAATAATAATGTTGAGAAAATGATCTCATCACAAGTTCCATTTAGTAGCTTTTCTGGAGCTTTCGATCCTATCATACAGTCTCATTTGTCTTTGAGCATCTGAAAGCTTTTTGTCCAGGCTGACAGAGGGTGGAGAAATAACTTAGGACAGGTGACACATCTGATCCTTTTTAACTGGCACAGCAGAACCAGCTCCAGTCCTTTGGCATCTGGATACATGATTAAGTTAAAGCTGTAGAAACCTGCAGCCCCTGTCTCTTATCCACCTGTCTATACTCTTCAGGTATCATGAATGGATGAAGCGTCCTGAGCTGCAGCATCTGACAGCCTCAGAGACACTAACCCTGGAACAGGAGTACGACATGCAGGGGAGCTGGAGGGAAGATGATGACCGTAAGACTTCTTCTGCAGTAAATGTACACACAGAACATGCTCTTATTCATCCTCTAAAGCAGTTGTTATAAATCTGAAGACTTGCCAGACTTGCACCTTTAGCCTTAGATTTTTTTTCATGTGGATAACTGGACACCTTTATTTCTCTGAAAACTACCTAAATAAAACAGAGAGAGGAAAAAATCTTAGGTTGAACTGATCACACAGCAGTGGCTAGAACGATAAATCTGAGAGAACGTCTTTTACTTTTGTTAACTTATTCTGAGTTAGAGTAACAAGTTTTTAACATTCCGAATTTTTACAGTGCCTACATAAATAAGCTAACACATTGTCCAAATAACAGAAGCTTATTTAATACAACTTATGATAGGATAAAGTGAAATATGATTCAGTGACATTTGCTTTACGAGGTCAACACTGCTTTCAAGTTCTGTCCTTATGGCTTCCAAATCATTCCTTCCAGACATTCGTACCATCATCCATCAGATTTGTTGTTGTATGTGTTTATAAATAAATGGAAATCATTGGATATGATATGAAAATAAGGCATCATTCTTTCTGAGGTCATGCATTAGTAAAACCATTCAACTCTTACTTAAAGAAAACCTGTTTAATTTGACTTTTATTTTTTTGCTAGAGTACACATTCGTCGTCTTGGATAAGCAGCGATGGGGAGATCCCAGTATAGAAGAGGAGCAGTGCATGGTGGGAGATATCAACATGTTCCTGACAGACCCAACATACCTCTCCTCGGCTGAGCTGGAGATCATGATAGCAGGTACACCCAGTGTGTGTGTGTGGGGGGGTATACAGTGTCTGAGAGAACGTCTTTTACTTTCGTTAACTTATTCTGAGTTTTGGGGGGTGTCTTGCCCAAGGACAATTCGACACGTGGACTGGAGGCACCGAGATTCGAACCTTCAACCTTCTGGTTGGGAGACGACTGCTCTACCCACCGCACCACTGTCGCCTCCCCATCTTAAAAGTGGGGGTAGGGGGGAAAGCTATTTCATGCATCAGATTCCTCAGAGCGCCCACTGTTCCGGTGAGGAGCCCAGGTCCGAATTTAACTGTTGAAGCTGTCCTCTTAATGTGTTGGGAGACCATCAGCTGTGTTGTGTCAAGATAGTGTTAGTCTGCATCAGAGTCATCCTCCATGCTACCGATCCATACTATGGCATATATTCAACACAATGTGTGTTGGTTAATAGTACCAGTGTCTGCAGTGTTAATCTACAATGTGGAAAATAACATGACACTAAAAAAACAAGTGTTGAACTGCAGTTCCTCCAATGTCCTCTAGTGCTGTTGTATTGAAGTGAATGGGAAAACCTCTAAAGCCTGTGTAGTTCAATTCTGGCAGATAGTTTGACATCTGCTGGTGGGAGTCTGAGGGCCGACACCGGCGGTGGCCGCACTGCCCTCTTAGCCTCTGGGGGTAGAAGGCGTCCTCGTGCTGCACTCCGCTGACAGGTTTAATCCAGACAGCAGCTGAACGTGACAAGCTGATGGGGGCATGAAGGGTTGGTTATTTTCAGCAGGTACAGAGGAGGTGTCTCCCTGCTGGAGTTTATGATGTAATGTCCTCAGAGAGCTGCAGGTCAACAGCTCAGCTTTAACAAACAGCCTGAAGGTGAACCTGTAGAACAAACATGACAGAGATCATCTTTAACATGATCAACAACAACTCATCTGCTGCAGCTGTTTGGTTTTGTCTCTATAACAAAGCCACCACAGTGTTTGGTAACCCTTTGTGTTACAGGTCCACAATCACTTCTTGAAAGTTTCCTGGAAAGCAGCATGTTGTTTGGTACTAATGACAGGAACAACAGAGACAAAGCTTAGATGAATTGTTTTAGCTGGGGGGTGCTTGTTTTGTTTGAGTTTGTTATTGAATTACAGCTTAATTTTCATTAAAGAAATTTCTTTGCTTAAACCACAGAGAATCTTCACTCATTTCCATTAAAGGATTTCATGCTTCTGAACAGCTGGCGTCTTTAACTATTTCTCAGAGCTGTGAGAGTTGGCAGCTCCACAGTTACATTTATACTTAAATACCTAATTGTCTTCTGTACTTGATCGCCAACAGCATAACTTAGCAGTTTAACTCATCTGAAGACAAAAAACAAACTGTTTTCACTGGAAAATCCCTTAATCATTTTTAAAGGAGTAGATGAGTCCTTAATATGATTTTCAGAAGGATTTTTCAAGCATTAAAAAATGTACCACTGTTCAGAGCTGTAGGGCCCTTCAACAAAGGAGGAATTGCACACCAAAGCGCCAAAAAGACAAGTGTCAAATTCATTTTACAGACCCCTTAATTTTAAAGCATCTTAGAAAATGTCCTTAGAGGGCTCAGAACAGGATTCAGAATCACCAGAATAACAAACCATTCATTAAAATCAGCAGTGCGATCTCCTATGATCACTTTGGATCTGTAAGATATCCCCTTAGCTTTTAATACAGATCCTGCATTATTGATAGTGTGTAGTAAAATAAGCTTTAAGTGCTGGCCTGGTTTCAGACAAAACAGCGTTAGCTGCAGAGAGAAATGACCTGTATCTGCTGTTTACATGATGTTGGAAGAGCTTCAGGTGCAGCAGGCGACTACAGTAGCTTTGTTATCATTATCATCATCGTTCCTTCATCTTTTGTGCAATTAGCACTGAGCTGTATCTGAGAGGGTGGCCCCTGGGGACCCGCACCGACTCCCACCGGATCTGATCAGTAAACACTGAGTGGGTGAATTGAGCTGGTTCACAGTCCAAATGGGAACAATGCTCAAAGTCAGAGGAGGAGGAAAAGGAACATTACTGCATTTCTAGAAATCTGACTCGACTGATCTCACAGCTGATAAGCAGGGATGTTTCACATGGATTTCAGTTGCATCTGTATCCAAGACATTTAGCCTCCCTTAGCACGGAGGGAGAGGAAAGGGGAGAGGAGAGCAAAGAGGAGAGGGGAGTGGAGGAGAAAGGAGAGGAGAGCGGACAGGAGAGGAGAGGAGGGGGAAGAGAGCAGAGGAGAGAGGAGAGGGGGCAAAGAGAGGAGGAGAGGAGAGCAAAGAGGAGAGGATAGAGGAGAGGAGGGGAGGGGAAACAACTAGCACCAGTTGGCTGGACCTCTGCTGAATGAGGTCAGTCATTTTAAAGGGGGTGAATACTTTTTATAGGCAGTGTGTGTAATTTAAAGGATATATCTTAGAAAAGTGATCTTCGAATAAGGAAAATGAATATTTTGGTGTGTTATTACAATATTCATTCATTTTCTACCGCTTGTCCCTGAGCCGGAGCCAATCCCAGCCAATCAATTTAGAGACACCAGTCAACCTATGCCACATGTCTTTGGACTGTGGGAGGAAGCCGGAGTAGCCGGAGAGAACCCACACAAGCACGGGGAGAACATGCAAATGCCACACAGAAAGGTCCCGGGTGGGGCCCAAACCCGTAACCTTCTCGCTGTGAGGCAACGGTGCTAACCACTGCGCCACCGTGCTGCCCGTTATTACAACATGTTATAGATTTTTTTTTTTTTGCTTATGTGAAAAAATGTCTTGTTATAAAACTAACTCTTCGTTATTTTGGCATCTGTACACATCTGCAGCAGACGGCTGTGTTTGTCACCGTGACTGTTGAAGAGACCTGCAGCAGCCACTAAATCTCTAGGATACTGCAGTAAGTTTTAAAAAAAAAAAAGATCAGCAGCAATAAAAATATATATGATTTGTAGTAAATATGTAGAACGGCCTTCAGTGAGCATCCGATTCAGTAATAGGGATCGACTGTTTTCAGAACAGAGGATGTTGTCTTGGTCTCACGCACTGGATCCAGTTTTACTTGATTGCATCACTGCTAACAGTGAGTACAGTGACAGGTGTACTGCAGGTGCAGCATCAGGATCATGTGGGAGAACTGGTTGTCCTGGAGGAAAGTCTCTGAGGGAAACACAGGATGGAGACAGCAGCAGCTGAGGGAGATCAGACAGCTGAAGAAGAAGAAACAGGAGACAGTGGTCTCGGGCTGAAGATGATGATGGAGCATCCAGCAGCAGCGGGAGACGGAGCGGGGTGTGTCAGCCTGCAGGATATCCTGACAGGACGAGCAGATGGAGGTCAGGGGACAAAGACCAGCTCCAACATGATCCGAGTCTTCATCAGCTCCACGTTCACAGGTCAGAGCACCGTGGGCTCTCAGTTTCTGGTCCCTGTGTAATCAGATGGAAAGCAGGTCCTCCTGCTTCTGCCTGTCTGCATTTATGGGCTTGGTTTTAATCTATGACAGAAAAATGCAAGGAGAAATTCAAGTTTGTGAACATGTAGAGACTATGCGAAACTGTATTTGTGCACAGTTAAACTTTAAAGGCTTTAACACAGTTAAAGATAAAATATGCCCTTGAATTTTAAATGTGTACAGTAGATGTGTAACTCTGGTGTCAAACAGTTTTCTGCTTCCAATCTGTACGGGTCCATTTCAGTGGTGGCAAGTAACTAAATACACTGACTCAGGTACTGTACTTAAGTACAGCTCCCAGGTATCCGTTCTTCTCCTGAGTAATTCCATGTCCTGCTACTTCATACTGTGACTCCATGTCAGAGACAAACCGTGTACTTTTTACCGCACTACATGTACCTGATAACTTCACTTCCTTTCCAGAATCAGATGAATCAAACCAAACCCAGTAGAATCATCACACTCTATTGATCCCGGTGGGAAATCCACCAGCTACCCAGCAGGATGTAAAGTACTTCACAGTATAACTATATAAGGTAGTTACCATCAGCTCCACCTTTACTGTGTCTCTACTGGACACAGTAACGTATCAGTCACTATGATCCAGTATCAGAGACATTACTGGGACATGGGCCATTCTGCAGGACGAGTACTGGTACTGTTGGTACTTCAAGTAGATTTGGATGTTGGTACTTGGGTACCTTTGAGTGAAAGTTTGTCTCATGAATAAAACACTAAACCGGGATACTCATGTGCATATAAAGACTCATGGATTCAGAATAACCAGGTTACTAGAGTGCACGTGAAGCGTTCCCTGATTCTGCTGTGGCATCACTGACAGTTCCTCTGGTCTCTGGTCAGATATGAGCAGCGAGAGGAAGGCCTTGCTGGAGAAAGCTTACCCAGAAGTCCTCTCATTCTGTCGTAGCCTGGGGTTGGTATTTGAGGTCAGTTTCCTCTTGTAATGTCAACTTCAAACTGAAAACAATACTAATAAGAACAAGTGTATATAAGCAAAGTGCTTTTTCAGTAAATACCTGCTCTTTGATTGGTGATCACTTCCTGTTCAGGTGGTGGATCTGCGTTGGGGAATTCGAAACGTCCCGTCCGGAGACCACGAGTCCTGTGAGATCTTCCTGTGGGAGATTGAAAGGTGTAAGAAGATTTCAGCTGGTCCAGCGTTCGTTGTGAGTCTCTTTTTGGCCTCTAATTATAACTGACATTTGATAATACACAATCAAAGATTTCTGCATCGCTAGGCATGAGCTACAGTGGGTACGGAAAGTATTCAGACCCCCTTAAATTTTTCACTCTTTGTTATATTGCAGCCATATGCTAAAATCATTTAAGTTCATTTTTTTCCTCATTAATGTTCACACAGCACCCCATATTGACAGAAAAACACAGATTTTTTGACATTTTTGCAGATTTATTAAAAAAGAAAAACTGAAATATCACATGGTCATAAGTATTCAGACCCTTTGCTCAGTATTTAGTAGAAGCACCCTTTTGAGCTAATACAGCCATGAGTCTTTTTGGGAATGATGCAACAAGTTTTTCACACCTGCATTTGGGGATCCTCTGCCATTCCTCCTTGCAGATCCTCTCCAGTTCTGTCAGGTTGGATGGTAAA